TCTTTACTTTCTCGCTGATATGACTCCCCAAACTTCTATCTCAGCATAACCACTAACTTAGGCATCGGAATTACTTTAACAGACAAAGCCTTGACTTTGTGTCTTTCTTTCTCATTGTATTCATAGCAAAAAGCTCAACTTGGATAATTTGACTTCACTGGTTTCCTACTTGCACAATGAGCATAACTTCCTTAGCGATAGTAGTAGTGTGTGCTTCTTCTTCTGTTTATGGAAAAAAAAAATAGTAGTAGAGAATGCGGACAATAAAAAGAGGGACGAATAAGTTACACTTGAAAACAAGTTTACAAATGACATTTGAGAAGGAGAGAGGCCAAAGAAGTCTATAACCATAATGCTAAGATAGTAGGGTTTAGGATAAGGCAGAACATGAGGTAACTGGACGATGATAAGTGCACAATGTTTAGAAAATGGGTATGCTCCGGAGAAGGTTATAGAGATCCGAAGTGATTTTCAGTGGAGGAACTCAAGGAGGCAAAATCAGTCACAAGGGTTGGCTGTAAGGTGCTGTGTTGTTTCAGATTTTTCCCTCCTCTATTTTGTCCTACTTTACCCTCCGCCTTTATTGTCAACTACTTTAACAAAAAATTAAAATAAGGGATACTTTCAGAAATCTCAGGTGAAGTTTCTGATAGTTTTACTTAACATCCTCGAATTTTGAAAAGTCTCACTTATCTCCCTTATTTCAAGTTTTTTGCATCATTTATAACCCATTTCAAAATTTAATATTAAAAGATTCATTTTGGGAGAATAAATGTAATCTTATCTCAAAATTGCCCTTTTGTTGTCTTATTTTTTTATTACCAAAACGTGATTATATTAATAACAAATAAAAATAAAAAAGTATGAAGGTTAATAAATTGATGGAACAAAATATAGTGTGTTTTTTAAATCGCAAGAGTTAATGTTTGAAAGTTTATTTGAACTTTTTTGCAAGTTACAATGATGATATTTTTTGTTGTAAGTGTTTTGAAATAATTTAAGTTGTAAATCATTTACATATTTTTGAATTTTCTAATTTTTGTTGAAATTGATAGCTTGAAAACTAAAAAAAATATAATGTGTGAAAAATTATATATATTAAGCTAGTGCAAAAAGGTATTATCAAGGTTGTAAATTATTACAAGTTATTTTTAAAAGTATTATAAAGTATTCATTATTTTAAATAATTTAGCATTTTGTGTTCAAACCAATGACACAAAAACTATTAAAGAGTTTTTTGATCTTGTTATCAACTTTTAAATTTTCATTAAAGAACTAAATCGATCAATTTACAAAAATTAAGAGATAAATTTGATGCGTCATGGCAATTAAGAAGTCACAAGAAAAGTGCGGATTTAGAATAAAATTATTCTCTCTGTCAAAATGAGTTTTTAATATTATATTTTCAAATGGATTTCAATTGTTATAAAAGTTTAAAGTAAAGAAGTCAAGTGAGATTTTTTAAATTTGAAGATGCCAAGTGAAACTAGTAAAAAGCTCATAGGAGGTTTCTCGAAGTATCCCTTAAAACAAAAGTAATGCACTCGCATTCTTTTCTTGACGACCTTGTTTAACCTGCTACTATCCTTTCTCGTTATTAAAATTTATAGTTTAAATATTTCGACTACTGACGCTGGTTGCCGGTCCCATTTTTCATAGCAAATTGATATCGGGTTTTGTCCTTTTGCACTTTACACACCTAGACAGCCATTATCGCTGCCTATTTAAGGTGCATCCAGCCATATGCGTATGATCTTTGATTCAATCCTCAAGTCTTATCACTTCCCTTTTTTCCCCATAAGGATTAGAGTCTCCATTTAAACTAATATAAAGAGAAAAAGAAAAGGCCGATTTTGGGAATATGTTGAAAATTTTGAAAAAAAAAATCTTTATTTACACTTAATGGTTTAGAGTCATTGACTATACTTGGTAAATTTTCTTTTATAGTAGACCTTAGTTAAGAAGTTTTGTTTTTGCTTTCCAATCCAATTATGCATGAGGTTTATTTTTTATTTCGTATGCTTTTGATGTTGATTTTTGTAGTCACTGTATATCTCTATCTTGAAGCATGACATTAGACTATAAACATTTATCTGATCATTGATCATTTACACTTAGGAATAAAAGCAATGTTGTTAAACTCGAACCAGATAGTGACTCGACTAAATTATTGGGTCAGGGGTCAATTGGTCAGATCGGTCGGACCGTTCTCAAAAGTCCTTTGACGTCAGCATGATGTTATAATTATTTTATATTTTTATAAGTTTTAGAAATATTGAAATTAAGTTCTTAGTTATATTCAGCCAATCATACAAAATGTTTCAAAAATATTGGACTTGCCATCAAATAGACACCTAATTATATATAAAAATGTATATTCAAGGCTAAAATATGTCCATTATCCAAAACTATATGAAAAACTAAATTAAAACAAACTAATGCAAGTTGGAATCAGTGATGCTAAATTGATAAGATGATAGGGATAAAAACAACGTGATTTAGAGATCATTCAGAAAATCGAGTGATTTTGGTATTTATTTTAAGTGGTTAGTGTTTTCTCATTCCTATTAATATATGAAATTGTTATAGTTTAGATAACTCAAATTATGTTTGGGGAAAACAAGAAAGAAAAGTTTGAAAACCGAGTCAAATCGGGTCATTGATTTAATCGATTTTTGACACCTTTTGACCAAAATGGTTTTGTGCTACAAACTAACTCGAAAAGAAGGTCGATTTATAATCGGACTGGTCGAACCGGCTGTTCTAATCTGGCTCTAACAACACTGAATAAAAGGAGAAAGACATAAACTTGGTCCTGCCAACTTACTTCTGCATAGGGCTGCAAACGAATAGAATCGCTTGCGAGCCGAGTCAAGTTCGAGTCGAGCTCGGGCTCAAAATATTAAGCTCGTTAGCTCGCGAGCCGGCTCACGAGCGAGTATATATATATATATATATATATATATATATATATATATATATATATATATATATATATAATATTTTTATTTTAAGTATATATATTTTTTATTTTAAATATATATATTTTTTTATTTTCTTATTTTAATAGTAAAATTACATATATATCATTAATATTTTATTATTTATTAAGAAAAAAATATTATTTTATTTATTTTTTAAAAAATAAAATAATTATTTTTTTTTTCGAGCTCGAGCTTTAAATTGCCGGCTCGTCGAGTTCGAGTTCGAGTTTGGTAAAATTTAGTCGAGACTCGGCTCGATTAGCCCAAAACTTGACTCGACTCGGCTCGTTTGCAGCCCTACTTCTGCACATAGGCATTACAATTGGTATATGCCATCACTTTGTATGGTAACACAAGAAATGAGGGGGAAAGTTGTGAAAAGAGCAAAAAAAGAAATAGGGCTAGGGTTGTAAATAAATTCTTCACATGGGACTCTTGTACTTTATACCTAAAACTTGCCGCTTGCAACTTGTGTATACAATTTGTCGTTAAATGGCAAATGCCTATCCTAAAACATAAGTTGTAATTAGACTAATTAAGTTTGCATAAAAAATCATACTTACAGCATGTGACGATCTAGATGTATAAATCCACAAACCAATAACCTGTTAGTTAAATTTCAATAATTTTAAGAGGAAATCTTTCCTACACTGATGGTGTATACACTATCATCGTTAGATTCATGACATGTCTGCAAATGTTGAATTTCAAATTTAAATTTTGCATAATTGTCATTCATTCAATGCTGATAGTGTAGGAAACATTAATCCTAATTTTAATACTTCAAAAGCTCCCTCTAAATAATTTGCAATGAAAAGTGAGGGAAAATATTATTGTTGGCTAGTGTTGAAAGGAGAAACTGAGGGTGTGTTTGATAAAACTGAAGTTTGAAAATTGAAATCTGAAATCTGAATTCTAAATCCATTAAATTATTAAATTGTTAAGTATTAATCAAATACATTTAAGTATACATCATGTTCAGTGACAAGTGAATAGTTTATCACATATTTTTTAGAGCAAATTTTGCCTAGGAAATTCAGTGCCATTTAATTAATTCAGATGTTCAATTTTTGGTGATCAAACGCATTTGAACATATTAAGATATGAATCCCTTAAATTTAAGTATTGAACTGGGTTATGAAACACGGCCTAAGAGGATCACCCTCCAAAAAAAAAAAAAAGAAGAAAAACTAAGAGGAGCAAAAATATAAGTTGGTAGATTTGAGACTGGGGAAGACAAAAGAAATCCCATGAAACCATAGACAAAAAGTAAAGGAAAAAAATTCCCATGGAAATTTAGTGTTTCATTTTACTACAACTAATTTTACTACTACTAATAAAATATCCCCAAGAGTAGAAAACCAAAAATTTTCTTTCAAAGGGAAAAATTATTTTTTTCCCCTTAAAAACCCAACAAGACTCGATCTTTTTCCCCTCAGGCAAGGCTTCACTCCTTGGATGTTTGTTAAGATTGCTGCTAGGATTTAGGCGATAATGCCATAGAACCACACTTTGAAACTAAATATGACACAAAAACTAATGGATACTAATCACATAGGACCAAGTACTTTGAAACTAACTATGATACCAAAACCAGTAAATATCTATTTTAGGTTAATACCCATTTTCCATTCGAAAAAAAGAAAAAAAAATTAATGCCCATTTTAGCCTAAGATATATACAACTTTGTATCTTTCCCTCAATTATACATTTCCTCCCTGTGAGTACGTATATACTATTAGTGTTACTTAGTATTTGTTTTATCTGTTTTATAGGACAGGTAAAACAAATACAACCAAGATTAATTAAAGAATGATTGGCTCAAGAAAAATATATGTATGAAAAAAGTTAGTGCTAGTGTTACATTATTTTCTTTATGGCTTAACAAAGTTTTTAGGATTCAGAAGAATTGGAAGCATCACAATAAATCAAGATCAAGGGGATCAAAGACAACCATGGAGTCCGGAGGAGGCAACTACCAAAAGGGCCAGCAATATTCAATCCAACACCAGAATCCTCACCATCATCAGCACCATGAACAATATTTTGTTCATCATCTTGTCAAATCCATGGTCTTATCTGCTGCACTTGCTCTTGCGTTCATTGTTCTTTATCACTCGGCAGATCGTTTTGAATTGCTCCCCACTTCAATGTACAATAAATTTCCGGCGTCCGACGGATTCTCTTCTTCGGTAAGTCAGTTACAAATCTGTGATCGATTCCTTCTGCCAAATGCATGCAGTTTCTTGATTTATAGGATTGTTTTGGCTTTGATTATGATGCTTATATATATCCTGTTTCGGTTATAAAACAAGTGATGGTAATATCCACATCCCAACTCAGTTGCATGCGGTTTTTTTTTTTTTTTTCAACATCAAAATTTGTTGGTTTTGGTTGTATTTTATAGTGCGAAACATTTTATTCTTTTTTCCCAAACAAGAGGATTTTTTTTGGCCTAATTTGTTGGGATTATACTTCATTTTTCTGTCCAGTTTCACACAACCATCTTCTCTTCCATTCCTGTTTCACCAAAGAAGCGTGATAGTATGTGGAATTAGCAAGGTTAAGCACAAGAGAACTGCAAAATGAGAATTGCCTAATAACACAGAGATTTTAGTGTCTAGATCTTTTTTCTTTTTTTACAGTTTAAAATGCTTGTTTTGGTTATTAGTGGCCACTCTTTTAGGCCCTTTTTTTTTCCCTAATTTTTTGGTTGGGGTACAGTGGGAAGATGGGTTTGGAGTGGGAGGTAGTGAGATGGCCCTTCTTTTCCGATGACAAGATTTGTTTTATCTCCAAAATATCAAGATTATTATTTATTTTCTTAGACCTCTTCAGAATTTCATATCAGCTAGGAGACTTAGTAAATTTGTTTTTCTCTTAACTAGCATAATTAAGCACCACTAATTACCCTTCCCTTAGGATTACCTCTTTCTTTGTCTTGTAAATATCTGGCTGTGAACCTAATTAGGCACAAACCTAGGATCAACCCTTTTGATGTACCATCTTTAATTTATAAGAATCTCAACCAATTAATGCTCCAAAAATTGCCATCAAGCTGTTAAGTTTACCATTTGCTGCGTTTGCTGTGGGGCAATTGGCACATTAAAGACCAAGACAATTTGGGTATTGGGCAATTGCCGAATTCTCTCTTACTAAAGTCCAATTAAAAAATTCCTACTTTGTATTCCAAATGTGCATATGATATTTCTACAAGGTGAAAAATTTTCCCTCAATATTCAAACTTATTTCAGTCAATAATTCAGATAATCTATGTATATAATTTCTCAATCCATATCCCCACAAAGAAATTAATTATCTTTTCTACACCAAAGTGCGGATTAAGGGGGTTTAATACTTCTATTAGGAAGAAGATAATGCTTAACAGGATTCCACATTGTGCCAGCCAGGCTTCTTTGTCCTTTTTCAAGTTTTAGATTAGTTTGGCAACATTTACTTAGTTCGGAAACTATTCCACAAACTGCATTGTTCTTATTCTGTTTTTTCCTTGTGGTCCTAACCAGTTTGGTAAATTAACAAGAAAATAGCAAAAAGCAATTTCCTTTAGGCTTGATTTCATAAGGCAGAAATTTTTATGTCAGTTACAATCAAAACATTGTACCCCACTTCGCATTTAATGGCGTCTTATTCCTTCTTATAACAGCTCCTTAATTAGGAACACTAAACGTCATTATTGGTTTATCACGTTGCTAACAATATAAAAGAGAATAGTTGACTAAAATAATTTAATTTATAATTTTCATTTGCTTCATAAAAAGTTGTTGATGTTTCATTTCCATGGCTATCATCTAGTACCGAATTTCTCGTCTTCTTAGGAAGATCTCATCTGTTCGTAGTAATATGAATTGATATGTATTTTGTAATGCATTTTCTGGAATATTACTAAGTGATTAATTTAAAAAAAAAAAAGTGTTTAACATACAGAAGGATGGAATATGACAGTTCAGAATTAACCTCAATAACAAAGGCAAAGAAATAGAAACCGAATAATTAAATCAGATTGGCATCTTTAGATAGTTGATCCTCAAAAGTTTTGGATGATTTCTGTGCACTTAATGAGAAGGCTCCTATTAAAAGAAGATAATAAAAATGAATACTTTTTTGTTTTGTTTTGGTAATGAATATCTTATATACATGCATAAGAAAAATAATACCAAAAAAAAATTATGAACATGTTTTCCTTTTGTTCTGGTGAAATTAGATGGCTTCAAAATTCTCAATAGGACTACATGGTCCTTCTAATGTTTATCTTATTAATTTCTCATAATTCAACCAAAAAATTTGATAGGGTCTTTTTGCTGCAATTCATCGCAAAATTTAACTTTAGCTTTTGACCCCAGTTCTTACATTTTATTCAAATATTACCCTCATAAACTTCCTGACACCTTTCTTTAAGGTAATGTGTTTACTTGTACAAAATTCACCACAAGTTGTAGGCCTCTTCTTCAGATAAATAGCATTCAATAGGCATTTATCAAGGTTCTAGGGAAAATAAATTAATAAATAAAGATACTGAAATATGTTTTTCTTGGCATAATCTTTTAATTTTGTTTCCCTGATTAAGTATAATTTTGAAGTTGTATAACTGTAAATGAATGAGAATGGCTTCAAAGCACACACATAGACAAGACAAATAAAAGATTGAAATAGACAGATTTCTTCGCCCAACCCCCACCCCCCTCCCCCAACACACACACACACACACACACAGAAAAGTTGGGGAACATTTACTTGTAGAACTGGCCAACTGGGTACCATTAGGCAAATTCTTTTTTTTTTTTTAATTGAAAATGGATTTCTTGAACAAAAGAGAGCATAATGACTGGTTATTGGAAGCAACCATCCTCCTTTCTTCCCATTTTTTTTCTTTGAAGTTATAGTACCAACGGTAGTGTAAAGTTTAGACTTTAGTTATATGTAAAAACATTAAAAAAGAAAAAGAAAACATATTTACAATTGAAATAGGGTTAAATGCAAAATGCACCCTTGAACTATGCATGGTTAGCGACTTGCCTCCCAAACTATCAATTGTAGGGATTTGCACCTTATACTACCAGTTTGATTGCAGATTGCTTAAAATAAGATGATGTGATAACTGATAAATTTATCGTAATTAAATGACCAACTACCTAAATTACCTACATCACTCCTCCTCTCCCCTCTAAACTACCTGGTAACGGTCCTCCTTCTGCTCCTCCAAACTACACCATCAAGTTCTTATCCATCCCACCCCTCACATCAAACTCTTTAATATGGATTGCTCTTCACCTTTCCTACTCAAATCTGCTTCTTCAATCCCTTAACTTCACAAGCCTATCATCACCAGAGCCTTCTCTTTGAATCTTCATCGTTTCTAAAGTTTCAAAATCACAACCCCCTTTAAATTTATCAACCTTCATTGCTACTAGCCAATCTCTCAATACTTTTTGATTCAAGAGACCCAAATCCTGTCATTTCCTATCCTTCTAATTTTTGTAGTGGTCTATGTTATTGGGTGTTATTAATTCTGCTTGCTGCATATAGAAGTTTGATTTAGTATGTGATTGGTTCTACATATGATAGGCTTGTGTTATGGGTGTTGCTGTTTGAAGATTTGGTGTGGATTTATGAGGTGTATCTTCATTTTTTTTTTTGCATAGGTTATAGATGGATTTTTAGCCTTGACATAAAGCTTTGATTTTGATCTAGTTTGATTTATCTTCTTCTATTGTGGTAGTTCAATGGTAGGTATTTTAATGTAATGTCAATGGCAAGAGATGTAAGATTGTTTATGGTTGAAATTTAAAAAAAATAAATTAAAGAAATGGGTATTTCAAGCAACACATTATTTGTGGGATTATCGTTGTCCTTTCAATAAGGAATTACTTGTCACATTAATTTAATTGGAGCAATGTGCTGAAAATTCATAGTATAAGATAGCAAATTACTCCAATTGACAGTATAGGGGGCAAGTTGCTAACTAAGCATAGTTCGAGGGTGTATTTTGCATTTAGCCCTTAGAAATAAGAAGTACCATATATTGCTTACTAATTCTCTAAATGCAGCCCTGGGTTTAATTTCTTTGGTCTAATTTTTTTCTTCTTTGCATGCTAATCAGGAACTTTATGAGTTGAATAGAGTCTTACAAAAGGCAGCCACAACGAACAAAACTGTTATTATGACAACTCTGAATGAAGCATGGGCAGCAAAAGATTCCATATTTGATCTTTTCATTGAAAGCTTCAAAATTGGGAATCAAACAGAAGGGCTATTGAAGCACTTGTTAGTGATTGCATTGGATCAAAAAGCATATGCTCGATGCTTAAAATCAAAGCTTCATTGCTATAGCCTCAGAACTGATGGCATTGATTTTTCTGGGGAGGCATATTTTATGAGTGCAGACTACTTGAAGATGATGTGGAGGAGGGTTCAGTTTCTTACAAAAGTTCTTGATATGGGATATAACTTCCTTTTTTCGGTAATTCTGCTGTCTTCCATTGTCTTTTTTCCATACGAGAACTTTGTAAGCCAACATAATTTTAGCCTTAGAAGAAAAAGAAGAATGTACCTTATACTTGTCTTGGATTTGGACCAAAAACTGTTTAATGTGAAACAATTAACTACAAGCTTAATGGTGAAATAGCTATATGCCTAAAAAGTACTCCCATTTTGGTATAGTAATTGTTGTTAGACAAATGGAACAAGTAAATCTATGATTGCCCATCCAATTGAGAGATTACAAGTATTAATTACTCTTACAGCTTCAATACTTGACATTGCCAGTTCTTTTTCCAACTTTAATCCTGCCAAGATCTATGAGTGCAGAATTAAGGAATCAAATTGATTCTGTTAAATAATGTTACTTTTTCTTTCATTTTACAAAAGGAGTAACATAGGCATGTTCTTTTCTATTTTACTGTCAGGTTTCACTCAAGTGACCTTTTTGTTTTATGTAAATACATATATACCGGAATATTGTATGTATGTGTATGCGTGAATATACATATACATACATATGTGTGTGTGCATATATGTATATGTGTGTGTGTGTGTATATATATATATATGTATGTATGTATGTATATACTCGTTCAGAAACATAAACATTGTTCCTATAACATTTCCATTTCAGGATGCAGATATAATGTGGTTTCGAGATCCATTTCCACATTTCTATCCAGATGCTGATTTCCAGATTGCTTGTGATTATTTTCGGGGCAACCCTTCGGACATAGAGAATGCACCTAATGGAGGTTTCACCTACGTGAAATCAAACAACAAAACAAGACAATTCTACAGGTTTTGGCACGACTCAAGAATCCTTTATCCAAAATATCACGATCAAGATGTCCTCAACAAGATTAAACGTGATCCCTGCATCCAGCAGATGGGACTAAAAATCAAGTTCTTTGATACAGCTTATATTGGAGGGTTTTGTGAACCTAGTAGAGACTTGAACAAGGTATGCACCATGCATGCAAATTGCTGTGCTGGTTTAGAGAATAAAGTTCATGACCTTAAAATCATGCTTGAGGATTGGAGAAAGTATATGAAACTATCTGAAAGCAATAGATCGGACCATTCTTGGACAGTTCCACAGCTTTGCGGGTATGCATTACCTAATTACAGCGGAATTAGATTGATAAGTTTGAAAGGTGGTGTTGCTAATTTTTTTTTTTCATTTTTTGTTATCATTTGCAGCCTTGCATCTTTTGGCCGTCATAGATCAACCAACAAAACCTCAGAAGGAACATGATGAAAATTCATAATGTGTTTCGGACTGATGAGGAATTGATATGAAAAGGTAAACATTTTCATCTACTTTTTTGTGGATTAGTTTGATGACTGTCAAAGTGTTGAAATGTTGTATATTCGTTTATCTTAGGGCAAATTCCACTTTATCCCCCTGTGGTTTAGTGTTTTTTACATAATCCCCCTATAGTTTCAAAAGCTATACATAACCCCTTTATGGTTTGGATTAAAGTGTCAAAGTGACGGGAATGATCATTCGTAACGGCGTCACCTAAAATGTCAAATTACCCTTATGTAAAGTTGAAATTTATGTATTAACTAAGGGGAGTTATGTGTATATTTTGAAAATTATAAGGGGGTTATATGATAAAATATAAAAATCATACGGAGTTAATGTGTCATATATTTATAAGGATAATTTCGACATTTTTAGAAGTTCCGTTATGAGTGACTATTTCCGTTACTTTGACACTTTAATCCAAACCATGAGGGGGTTATGTATAGCTTTTGAAATCATAGGGGGATTATGTAAAAAAAGGATAAACCACAAGGGGGTAAAATGTAATTTACCCTTTAACTTAACATCTCCCATGAGTTTATAGGAAGTTCAAGTCCAAAAAAAAAAGAACATTAATATTTCTGTAAAATATTTCCAAAAAGATTCTTCTACATATTGATATAAAAATCGATGTGTGAGGTTCTGTCAACAATATTTTTTCTTCTGAGCTTGGCGTAATCGTATTGGCAAGTTTTATTAGTTGCTTCCTATTTTTCCTGGTTGAAATGTAATTTTCTTCGATCTTAGGTAATATGTACTAAAGTAAATATTTTGAATCCAATAATTAACATATATAAATTCATCCACAGCCGATTCATTCACACATAATGATTACATGTGTCTTTAACATACTTCGATTTCCACAAAATTGACCCTACTATTTGGAAGAAGGTAGTATATAGAGCAAAAATGGCATAATTGGTCATTAAACTATTTAAAACTCCTTATTTTGGTCATTGAGCTTTTTCTCTAGCTAAAATGGTCATTCAAATATTAAAATTGTTTTTCTTGGTTACTCAAATACTGGAAATATACCTTTTTTGTCAACTCAACTAATGAAAGCATACAAATATTTTTGGCTCAGCAATGTAAATCTTAGGTGAAAGACTATTGGTGATAAAGAAAAAGTTCAGTGACTAACAAAAGAAATTTTTAAATAATTTAGTGACCCTTTACACCAAATTGCTTTATATTCTGAAAAGGCACTCACATGAATTTTATGACTGTGGATGCAGGCAGTCGATTCAATTGAAAAGTTAAACACAGTTGCATGGCTGGCTCTCTCTAACCAACTAAATCACCTCATGTACTTGGCATATTCTAGTTGAAAGATCTCCAATCCTTGTAAAAAGTTAGATCTCATATTGTTGTAAAGAATTTTGATATCAGCTTACACTGTGATGGAAGAGGAGTTGTTATAACCCTCTGTTTTTTGGTTCATGTCCATTTGATGACAATAGCCCTTCTAGTCTAATTGTGGTTTTACATTTTATTCAGGGTGTAACAATTTTTTAGTTCTGCAAATTTTCAAAGTTGCCTACTTTACTGCTGCTTTCACTTCTAAGTTTTGACAGTGTAGGAAAAATTTTGAAGATCTCCTCACTCACTTGATTTCATACTTTGAATTTCAATTCTTGCTTGGGTGCAAATGACAGCAATTGCTTCCTAACATTGGTCTTCCTTTTCTTTTAATTTTTTTTTAAGTTTCTTTCTTTCTTCCTTTTTCCTTTTCAAGTTGTGAAAGTGTTGGACTTAAAAGGAAAGGGGGAAGTTTATGTCATTAATTTTTATATAAGATTGATTTACACAAAAGATGGGAAAAAATTAGCTATGGAAAGAATAAACCTACTTTAATGGCAAGGGATGTTCAAATCAACATCCAGAAATCTTGTAACTAAAGTTTGAAATGTTTTTAGTTCTTAGTTCAATGGAAATTTTAAACCCTCAAAGGGAAAGTGGCAAAAATTTTCCCCCTCAGTCAAGGAAAATGAAAGGAAGAAAGGAGACCGCTTGGGAGTCCTGAATCAGTTTTTTGTTTTCCTACTAATTTCTACTGCTAGACATCAGCCAAGAAAACAAAAGCTTTTGCAGTTGGTGCATTTGTAAAACGATGTGAATCAGGGTATACTGTTGTACCCATTCATATACAACATTCATTTCATGTACATCAACCTTTGCATCAAATCAACAAAACAAATCGAGTCGATCGCGAGCAACTCGATTCCAAGCTCAGCTCAAACTCGGTCAACATTGACTCGAGTTGAGTTTGAGCTGACCAAATCGATCTCGACAGTTCAAATTAGAACTTGAACTCGAGCTCAAAAATACTAAAACTCATTAGCTCGTGAGTCGGCTCAAACTCTATTATATATAAATATATTTATATACACTTTTTATTTTAATAGTAAAATTACATATATATCCCTAATATTTTATTATTTATTAAGAAAATAATTATTTTATTTATTTTTTAAAAATAAAATAAATTTTTTTTATTTTTTAAGTTCAAACTCGAGTTCGACTCAAATTTGAGTTGAACTCAATTTCAAACTTGACATTTTGATCTCGTAGAGCTCGAACTTGATAGTTTGAACTCGTAGAGCTTGCGTTCGAGTTCGAATTTCGTAAAATTATATTGAGACTTGGTTCAATTAAGTCGAAACTCGATTCGACTCAACTCATTTGCACCCCTAATGAACCTGAACAAAAATTAGGATCACGGGCAGTTACAGCTGACAATCTTATACAATTGTTCAGTTATTCTACGTTTTAAACTGTATGATGTACTTTTACATAACTTTATTGTACTCATAAATTTTATTCATATACGATATGTTAATGCATAACATATACCTATTCTTATAAGCATATAACCACATTGTCCATACAATACACCAACCGCATCTAACCAGACCTAAGCCAATCATACCTGCCTCATTTCCCAAAAATTACAGCCGCACTAGTCCTAAGGCCAGGGCCAAGTATCTTCCACCAGGAGGACTTCGACCAGAGCTGTTTGTCTTACATTCTATTCCCATTACCAGCATCGGCACACGACTTTGTCAAGTAGCTAGAAGCCAGAGTAATGCATAGCAGTTGGCCAGGAGATAACATCGACAGGCAAAGCAGCCATGTTCCATTCCATTTTTTTAAGGTTCTTTGTGGATGATCGATCGAGAAGCTCGCACAGAAAGGTCGATCCACCTTCGAGATAATCATTTGTTGCTTCTCAAACTTAAAGAATGATCGCTATCTATATCCTAGTTCAGTACAAAATGTCCAGCACGAAGCATTTTCCAATCAGACAAAATATTGTTGTCCAATAGGGAAGCATTCTTTGCTCAAGATGATCAGGGCGGCAAAGACAATTACCTTGAGAAAATGCTAAAGCAAAGGCATTGAAAGGCGTATTCTGTGCTCGACATTTTGCAATTCTTAGTTGGAATGAAACAGAGTCAGGCCACTATATATGGAGGTAGCTGCCAATTGAGAAGTTCATATCATTAGCTGCAGATTGCAGTCAATTGAATGAGAAAAAAGAAAAATGGTTGATCAATACGTGGGTGATTCCCTGAAGACGTCTGATCATAAATGCAAGTTAAAAGAGAAGGGTTGATTCTAAGTGATCCAAACTATGTTTTTTTCTTTGAGTCGATGTCTTTTTAGGTGATCATAGAAGTTCTACCACCAGAAAAGAACCTTGACCAACAATTCCCCACTCTTCAACCTTCCAAAACCTTCCACTCCTTGATCTCAACTTGCACAATGTAGAATACATTGACGGTGCTGGGCACACCGTATTTTTGTGAAGGATTTTGGGAGAGTATTTTTCTGAAGAGCCAGAGAAGAGTAGTTTGCATGTATCAGGATATGCATGCATTCCTGAATTTCTTTAATGTAAGATCCAGGATTGCATTTTTTTATTTTTATTTTTGCAATTTCTCTGGACTTCGTGGTTTGATTTTGGTCCAAATATTGCAGTTTGGCATTCTTTTGTTTTTTTTTTGATATGAATCCTTTCCTCCGAGCCTGGAAGCCTGGAAAACTGAGCACAAAACATACCAGTTTTGGTGCTTTTAGTTTGAAATTTTTATGCAATTTCTACCACGTCACGTTTTGCTTAGTACAACTGGAAAGACATGGATAATATTGGTGTAGAGGTTGAAAAGCCACCACTGATCTCCTATCTTGCTCAAGTAAAGAAGGAAAGCTCATTTATGCCTTTGACATTGCTAGAACTTCTGAAGCAGTATGGTGCCAAAGTGAAACGTTTGAGGGAGGAAAATCTCAAAGAGCTAAACACTGTTAAACCAACAAATAGTTCTGGCCATCAAGCTTTGTCTACTGCTGGGATCATGGAGTTAGCTAGAGCACAACTGTTTGTGCTCAACTCCCAGAAGGCCGGTGTTCTTTCCAGTGTGGCTAGTTGCATTGGAGCTCAATCTGCTCTCAGTTCTGAATTTTCTGAAGACTTGGACTTGCAATACTACTTCAAGCAGCTGCTGAATACGTAGTCAATCAACAATATGTTTATTCAAGGAAATTGCTCAACATGTGTAATCATTTTTCTTCTAAAAGTGGTAATCCTGCTCAAAGAATTGTACACTATTTTGCTGAAGCCTTGCGAGAGAAAATTGATCAAGAATGGGGTATGGTTGCATCATTAGAAGATCTGGAAGGAGAAACAAGGAGGCCTATTGATGAGAAATTGGCTCTGGTTAGTCTGCAACCTGGAATGATGGCATCTCAACAAGAGAACCCTTTCTCCCTCGTTAGCCAATTCACAGCAATTGGATCCATCAGGGCAACTGTGGCAACAGCAAGGAGAGTTCACCTCATTAATTTTGGACTTGATAATGGACCACACTGGACGCCAATTATGCAGGATTTTGCTGCTCAGGACGACTATCCAATTGAGATTCTCAAGATAACTGCTGTTGGAACCTCTAAACAGATGATGGAAGAGACAGGAAAGTGGTTGTCAGCTTTTGCAGATTCCATTAGTTTACCTTTTACGTTCAACATTGTTGTTTCGGACCTGAAGGACCTCAAGGAAGACATGTTCAAGTCAGAAGCTGATGAAGTTGTGGCTGTTTATTTGGATAGGCGGCTTTGGACTCTGTTAGCATGGCCAAATTACTTGGAAGCATTGATAGGAGTGATTAAAAAGCTGAAGCCACGTGTGATGGTGGTCAAGGAAATGGAGGCAAGCACAAATAATCCAATTTTCTTGGAACGATATCATGAAGCTCTGATTTTTTTCAGTGGCATGTTTGAGAGCATCAGAGACTGCATGGACAATCACATCTTCTACAGAAAGCAGACTGAAGAAGTTTACTGTCGGAACATGATTAGAAATATTATCACAGCACAGGGTAAAGAGAGGGTACATAGACATGAAAGGGTTGCCTTCTGGAGGACCCTTTTTGCAAAATTTGGCATTGTGGAAACAGCTCTCAGTCAATCATCAGTTCGTCGAGCAAGCATGTTTCTTAAACGGTCTGCTCTTTGCAGTTCTTTTACTATTTATACGGATAGAAAATGCCTCATCTTGGGGTGGAAAGGAACCCCACTTATCTCAGTATCTGCCTGGAAATTCCAGTATGACTGAGAGTGATCAAAGACTGCTGCAAGATTTGAAAGTCAGGTAATCAGCCTATTTCTTATAAATGTAACTACATTCTATACCAAAATGTAGGTTGTTTGCAAAGTGCTTTGTAGGTCACTACACTCTTTCAAGTGTTTTCTAGGTTTGATATTTCTGCAAACAACCTAAAACCATTGAAAGCAAATGTTCCTGATTGTGTTTTTTCAACCGTGTATGAGATTTTAGTGCTTTTTACTGTCCTTTCGTAATTTGACCACCCCCACAAATTGCACAAGCATATTCCACATGGCTGGACTTCATTTATCAAGGAAACAAGAAAAAAAAAAAGAGGTAGATGCATTTTAAGACATAATTACTAAGGGCCATTGTAGCGTAAAAGGTTATTGAGGGCACAAAATTTAAAGTAGGCACAGACCATAGATTGGCTAGAAGGGGTTGGCTTTCGCCCAAATTTTGTTAAATTAAACTCGGCTTTAGCTTTCACCGAGACGTTCGACTAGAGTACTCCTGATCCATAGCTTGTGCACTTTAAACCCTGCACAGACCATAGTTTGGCTGGAGTACTCCTGATCCATTTCTTGGATTGGTTAGCTGTCAACAAGTTTCATGCAGTTTGGTAGGATCAGTATCAATAACTTGATATAAGATTTTAAGACCATTTAGACTCCTTCAAACCCAAATCACCAGAGAGAACCAAAAGTCAGAAAATCCAGATCTATGATGCCAAAGATGTATGGATGCAGTCAAAATGCCAAGCATTAGTGCATATATAGTGCAAAATATAAACGAACATCAGTCAACCCTTATCCGCGAACCTCCTAAGCCAAGATTAAAGCAAACCACAAGATATGAATGGCCCCCGATCGTTGACTGAAAATACTTTCAGATAAATTATCACAGATGCACACCTCCAAACTGATACTCAGTATATTGAAATGAAACATCTTGTTAAACCAGAAGGAAGCTACAAGGCAAAATACATACACGAGATTCAAAAACGTCCATATTTTTTTATTGCTTTTAACACGTATCAACAACACACCTTTTACAAGAGGTTCAAGAAAAGCGGCATCGATTGCTACCAAAATACTAACCATTACATTGAAAATAGAGTACAATAGGTCCAGCTAAAAGCAAAACATACAGCAGTAACCAAAAGGTAGAGCAAAAACTATAATTCTACTTTAACCACTCAGCTGCCAAAATATCTTCCAAAACCTAAACTTGATAGCTGCCACTCTATGATATCAATATACTGATCTACCATCACCATCAGTTATCACATCTTTGAATGCTCCATTACTAGGAATCATAGGTAACACATGCTCCTGATGTGGCACTATTACATCCAGCAAGTATGGACCAGGGGTATCAAGCATCTTTTGAATTGCGGCCCTAAGATCTTCCTTCTTTGTTACTCGCGCAGCAGGGATATTACAAGCCTCAGCGAACTTCAGCATGTCAGGGAAAATCTCTGACTCTTTTGAAGGATTTCCCAAATAAGTATGTGCTCTATTAGACTTATAGAACCTGTCCTCCCACTGAACAACCATACCCAGATGCTGGTTATTCAAAAGCATAATCTTAATTGGTAGATTTTCCACTCGAATTGTGGCCAACTCCTGCACATTCATGATGAAGCTTCCATCCCCATCAATGTCCACAACAACCGCATCAGGTCTCGCAACAGCAGCACCAACTGCAGCAGGCAATCCGAAACCCATAGCTCCTAGCCCCCCGGATGTCAACCATTGTCTAGGCCTATTATACTTGTAAAACTGAGCAGCCCACATCTGGTGTTGTCCTACACCAGTACTAACAATCGCATTCCCGTTTGTCAACTCATCAAGAAGCTGAATTGCATATTGTGGAGGAATAGCATCATCAAAAGTCTTGAAACTCAAAGGAAACTTCACCTTCTGCTCCTTCAACTCTTCCCTCCAAGCCGAAAAATCCAGTTTCAATTTATTCCCTCTTGCCTCCAACATTGAATTCAACCCTTCCAAAGCCAATTTCACATCAGCACAAATGGACACATGTGGCTGCTTATTTTTCCCAATCTCTGCAGAATCAATGTCAATGTGAACAATCTTAGCTCGACTAGCAAATGCCTCTAACTTCCCAGTCACACGGTCATCAAACCTCACCCCAAATGCAAGCAACAAATCGCTCCTATCCACAGCATAATTCGCATAAACAGTCCCATGCATCCCCAACATTTGTAACGAATACTCTTTGTCAGAACAGGGATAAGCTCCCAACCCCATTAGAGTACTCGCCACAGGGATCCCTGTGAGCTCTACAAATCGCCTAAGCTCCTCGCTCGAATTCAGACACCCTCCTCCGACATACAACACCGGCTTTTTTGACTCACCGATCAACCTCAAGACCTGCTCTAAGTACAGCTCATTAGGCGGCCGAGGCAACCTGGATACATATCCAGCCAACCTCATTGGTTGGTCCCAATCAGGAACAACCATCTGTTGCTGTATATCCTTAGGAACATCAATCAAAACCGGCCCAGGCCGGCCAGTTCTAGCGAGGTAGAAAGCCTCACGTACAATTCGAGGAATGTCTTCAACATTCAAAACCAGATAATTATGCTTAGTAATGGACCGAGTTACCTCGACAATAGGAGTTTCCTGGAAAGCATCCGTGCCGATCATTCGCCGGGGAACTTGGCCGGTGATAGCCACAATCGGAACGCTGTCAAGGAGCGCATCAGCCAAGCCACTGACAAGATTCGTCGCACCAGGGCCAGAAGTCGCAATACAAACACCTGGCACACCAGAAGCCCTGGCGTACCCTTCCGCCGCGAAGACACCGCCCTGTTCGTGGCGGGGGAGGACGTTACGGATGATTTTCGAGCGGGTGAGAGCTTGGTGAATCTCCATGGAGGCGCCACCTGGGTACGCAAAGACATCGGTCACGCCTTCTCTTTCTAGGGCTTCGACGAGGACATCGCAGCCTTTTCGTGGCTCATCAGGGCCAAATCTGGAAACAAACGGGGCGCCTGCGGTGGTGGTGGAGGTGGTGGACGAGGAGGATGAGGAGGGTTTAGGCGTCTCGGTGGAGGTGGAGAGGACGTTGGTGACAATCGGAGTGTAATGGCCTCCGCGGCGGCGGTGGTGGAGAGTGGGATTTTTGGGGATTTGGGAGAATGGGAGGGTAAATTTGGGAAGGAAACTGTTGTTCAGGGAGTTGGCGGAAGAGTGAGAGAGGTGGTTAGAGATGGTGGAGGTGGTAGAAGCGGAGCTCGGAGCGGTGAAGTTGGCGGCGGCGGCCATCTCTGACCCTACTGGCGGCGGAGTAATGTGGCTTTCGGTTCTGCAGGGGAAATGTATTCTTCTCGTGGTGAGGAATGGAGGGATGATTTGATGATAGGACGAAAATAAAAGGACGAATGGTACCTTACTAGTGGTCCAGACTCGAGTTTGACTGAAAAAAAAGGAAAAGGAAAAATCGTAAAGCGGAGATTAGCCGGGATTAATTACGCTAATCAGGAGTAAAGCTGCCCAATCTGTCCAAGATATTTAATTGTTTTCTTTTGGGAAAATCGTTCAAAATATCCTCATATTTTATAAAATAACTTTTTTCATCCCTCACATTTAAAAATGTACTTTTACATTCCTTACAAATTCACATTGGTCAAATTTGATCCCTATCTAAATTTTCAACTGGTTTTTGGTCGGAATCCACCACGTGCATTGCATGTGATTATTTTTGAATGGCAAAATTATTAAATTAAAATTTATATAATCCGATCTATCTTCTCTCACATTTCACAAAATGAATTTTTTCATCTCTCATATTTTACAAAATAAATTTTTTCATCCCTCATTGATCATGTGTACGAATAACTTTTTTTTAACTCATATATATATATCTATTTAATTTCACCTGAATAATACGAATAACATGTAATATATCTCTATTTGATTTCGCCTGAACGTACTGTTCAAGTGAAATTAAAATAGATATATACAGGGGTTTTAAAAAAATTGTTAATTTTTCACTCATGTTCATGGTGAAATCAAATAGATAAATATATATATATATATATATATATATATATATATATATATATAGATTTAAAACAAAATTGTTAGATTTAAACCCTTGTATATATCTATTGAATAGTATACGTACAATTAGTCTGTTTAGGTGAAATTAAATGGAGATATATTACATACTATTTGTACACATGGTGAAAAACTATTCATAGACATGGATTTCAAAACAAATATATTCATACACATAGTCAATGAAGGATAAAAAAATGCATTTTATGAAATGTGAGGGATAAAAAAAATCATTTTGTGAAATGTGATGGACAAAACAATTCATTTTGTGAAATGTAAGGGACTATATATGGATTATATAAATTTTGATTTGACAATTTTATCCCTAAAAATGATCATGTGCAAGACCCGTGATGAATTCAGGCAAAAAATCAGTCAGAAATTTAGGTAAGGACCAAATTTGATTAATGTAAATTTGTAAGGAACGTAAAATTACATTTTTAAAAGTAAGAGACGAAAAAAAGTTATTTTATAAAATGTGAGAGACGTTTTGAACGATTTTCCCTTTTCTTTAACTAGTTTGAAAGTAAGATCGAGCTTAGCTTGATTCCTACCGGATTTGAGTAGCTTCAATGCTATTATAAAATGTAAAATGTAAATGTAGTATTATAATTTTTTTTCTAATTTTTTTTAACTGGAAAAGAGGGTAATTAATCAATTTAAGTATGTGAATTGAGTTTTGATATGCCTAAACTTATTTAATATCAAATATTACTATTTTAAGTTCAAATTTAGTTTAGTTCACATTTTTTGCAACTCATGCTCGACTAGCAACAAAAAATAGTCGATTCACAAAATCAAATCGATCCATTTCTTGTCATGCAATTTAAGCCACAGCACATGAGAATCTTAATATCTAATGTATAAATTTAAATTTTATTTTAATTTATTGGGCTCAGTTCGAGTATAAAAACTTTAATG